GGTGGAGGGAGAGCTACAAGGAGGGAGAAGGGTGGGTGAGCGCCGTGGTTTTGGTAAGTGATAAATCCCTTTGCTGAGCAGGTGAGAGCAGACAGGGAGCTGGACTCGACTTTCTGCTGTTGCATATAAGTAAGGGGATGGTTTGGGCAGGAAATGCGTAAAATGGACAAAGAGAAAAAACATCAAAGGACAGAGAAGGCGGCAAACTTGTGATCTCAGGATGGGGAGGGAGGGCAGGTTACTGTATTTCCTGCAGTGGTGGTGGTTTGTTGGGCACCCGGTGGTGTGGCCGGTTCTCAGTGGTTCAGATACCTGCACTGCTCTGGAGATGCAGGTGAAGGGATCTGTGAGTCCTGCAGGAGGATGGCTGAGGTTGGGTTTCCCCAGGCCTTAAACATCCCACATGTGTAGCTGTGCTTTTTTACATTAAAAAAAAAGTGTGGGGGAGAACTTACGCAGCTCCAGTGCATGGAATTGTGCCTATCTTCATGAGGATTTTACAGAATAATACCATCATGTGCCAAAACCCACAGTTCTTTCGCAGTGCACGGTCTGTGTCACTGTGGGTACTGACCTAAATTACTCTGAGTAGTTACAGGTAGGTTGGGTTTAGCCTCAGGACGTATCTCTCTGCACTTCAGCAGCTTTTGTGAATGGCTGTGACTTCCGTAGTAGAGAAGGAAGCTTTTCACAAACCGTCTTCGTGGTCTTTTAGCCCTTTTATGACATCCATAGAGCCTGCAAGAAAGGGACCTGCAACTGGCAACCAACTTCTGGCCCTGAAATAGTTTTATCTGCAAATTCTTTTCTGGTGTAATTTGTCTGCCTTACCTTCCCAACACGTCAGCCTCCATCTGAAGGGCTAGTCCAGAGAGTAACATTTGAAGGATGATTTTTATTTCCAGCCTCCTTTCTTGCAAATAACTGCTGCATCTGTTTTCCTGTGCATTCATCAAAGTGTTTGATCCCTGCAAGTTCTGTAAAAAGATCCAGGTCACTCAATAGCAAACAGTTTGATGACTGTCCCCCATTAACTTCGGCATGTGTTGGTGGACTCTGTGTCAAGTCCTTGGGTCTTGACACATATCAATAACTATTGTATTTGTTTTGCTCTGCAGTGGGGTTATGGAGACTTCGAATGATCAGTCAATGGTTGGAGTCCAGAATTATTTGGAGGTAGGTCCTTGCTAATCATATTGTCATTAAAATGAAACTTCTAGGGTCACATTGTTGAGCTATAGATATTACTAAGGATAAATTGTATTTTTAGATTGACACTCAATAAAAGACACTTATATAGTGCTAAACACTATAATCAAAACAATCAAAGTGCTTTAGAAATTATGTCAGTATACAGGTGGGGGAAATAGGTCAGGGTGAAGTCAGAGACATTAAGATCCTGATCCTGAAAAAGATGTGCACCCTTCAATGAGACTTGAAATTGAGGTATCTGAGTCCAGAACTATGATTCTGAGAGCCCCTGCTCAGGTGCTGGCCCACCTGAAGGTACTTAATCATGTGAGCTTCATTAGCACTTGTGGCTTTGCCTCCACTTATTCTTAGAACTGCCTCAGTTCTGAGCAGGCTTAGCTGCTCTGCTTCTAGTTCATGTCTAAGTCCTTCATAGACTTAGAAACTAGAAGCTGCATCCTCCTCGGAGAGGATGTCTCTGATAGATGTTTTCAGACACAGAACAAAGCACAGCAGGATATCCATTGTTCCAAAGAAAAAAAAATGCTTAGTTTCCATTCTTCTGGAGTTATTCTAATACGTCGGGGGAAAAAGGTATGATCCTGTCATCACTGTTGTTCCTGTGCTGTTCCCAGGGATTTCCCAGAATGTAAGAACAGCTTTCAGAACCAAAATGCTGTTTGGGCTTGGAGTGAGTGTGCAATAGGAGTGCAAAAGACCCACTGTTAGACCAGCAGGTAGAAAGTGGGTCACTTGCATAGGGTAAATACTTAGCACACCTGGATGTTTGTGTAACCCAACTGTAATTTAATTACAAGCTGCTGTTGAGCTGCATTTATTTGAGCAGAGGTGAATTTATTTTGCTGGTAAATACCATGTTCCTGTACAGGGCAGGAATCAAAAGGAAGCTGCATTATTTTTCTCTCTTAGAAGCATCATGTAGTTTGAAACGAAGCTTGTGCCCATTTAGAAGATAAGAGATTGTTGAAGAAGTTGAAACTGATTGCTTTAGGTCAGATCATGCCTTTTTGTTATTCGGTTCTCATTTTCAGTCAGACTGTCTAACCTGAGATCACAAACTGCAGCAGTTTGAAGGTGGTGTGCCCACCGTGCTTGTTTGTGATAGTCTGTGCTCTGCCTGCATTAGCTACGATCCCGGTGTTGTGAAGGAGCAGCGTTGTTGAAGAGCTGCTCTGGGAGCAGATCGGCTGTCCCACCCAGCCACTCCGTGACCATGGCCAAGACATTTCCACACTGTGCCTTGTGAGGGTGATAGTTCTTGCATGCTCTTGCTGAGCAGTCTGCAGAAGGGAAGTGTGATGAATTATGGTTTGAATAAGAGTTCTCAGCGTGTATTTTTATGGCTTCTTGCCTGAGACCATTGTGGAGAAAGTGTATAAATATTGTGGAGATCTTGAAAGAAGAGCCCCAAAGGACTTTCCATCTCATTTATCTAATCCTCTGAACCATCCAGTGTCTCAGCCCCTGGCGCCGGACTTTGGGTGAGCCCAGCAGTTGTTTTGCATTATCCAAGTAACTTTGTTTTAATAGGCGAATGGGTAGGATGGGTGATTAAAGGAGAAAAGAAGAAGAAAAAAAAGAAAAAAGATAAACTTATTTGGTGTTGTCTTTTCACAGTATCAGCACTTTGCAGGCCAGTTCTGGGATATGTGCTTTGCTTTCATGTGGTGGTATTGATGCTGGGCACTGCTGAGCAGGGCTGTGTCTATTAGAACCACATGGGAAGTCTTAAAGCAACTTTAATAGGAAACTTCTGGGGCCTGTAGGAATTTATCTTCCTCCGTTTCTGTGCAGCCTTGAACTCCACAACCTTCCAAAGCCAGGAAGGCAACTGAAGGGAAGGGCAAAATTAAATCTGTAATGAGATCCTTATTGTATTCTAAATATGTTCAGACATTTGTTTGCAGTTACAGACAAGCAAATAACCTGTGAGGTGCAGACCTTGTGTTTCAACAACTGTGCCATTAAAAGTGTAATGGACTGGTGTGTGAGTGTGTACTGCAGCCCTCTGTGTGACAAGGTAAAATTGCTGGACTGGAGCTGAGCAGAAGGCCTGTCTATAGCCCCTTGTCACCATAAAGCACTGTATCATACAGGAGATAGAAGCTTTTGTAGTCCTCACTACTGCTATGTAACAGAGTCCTGGGACTGTCTGGAGGAAACGGAGACTTGGTTTAGTTCGGGGACAGATGTAGATATTTGAAGGAGCTTTTAAAATATCTTTGCGGGGGGGGAGCTTTGCAGACAACACTTTCTTTCTTTCTTGGAGACAACGTATTTGTCTTGAAGCACGTGGAAGCCCAGCTTGCTAGTGATGGGTCCAAACCAAAATTCCAGACCTTGCTTCCCCAGATGAGGAGGTTTGAATCCTGTGACTTGGCTCCCTCCAGTTCCTTGTGAACACTTACAAGATGCAGGACTTCGTCTCTAGTCTCAATTCTTACAAATGTTCCTACTGTAAAGGAAGATCTCCTGTGTAGTACCTTTTGCTAAAGTGAGTAGCTGGTGCTGGTGCTAACAGGCACCATATGCGAGGCCTGCTAGGATCTACAGAACTAAGTTCCCTTTCATGTTTGGTTTGAACCATCTCCTGAGTGCGCCGTTTCCTGTTGTGCTGGTGAATGCTGCCCAAAACTAATCTTCCCCGCACGAAGCTCTGCTTTGGCCAGCAGCCTTGTGCTAAGGCCAGATACTATTCCTCATGAAAGGAAAAGGGGAAATAGGAGAGGAGAGAAAGAGAACATACACAAACTCCTTACTATGCAAGGCAGCTTTGGTACAACCTCCTGCACCATCCCCCCTTCCCCACCCCCCCAAAAAAAAAAAAAAAAAGAGGAAGAGAGAGAGGAATATGGACCCAGAGAACTGTCATCTTCAACCCCTGTTTGGATAATAATTTCAGGGGCATAGGAGATTGCTTTGGAAACCCTTCTTCTAGCAGAAGCCACTTTCTCAGCTTTTTCTTCCTGGCTTTCACTTCAACTTTTATCTATTCCACTAAAAATGAGTTAGGTTTTTAATTAGTTTCAGCTGACGTAGCACCCATTGAGTCAGTGAGGCTGTGATGACTTGCAACCAGAAGCTTGCACATTATTATTTATTAGAACACAACAACTTATAAATCGTGCAGCATCCCTGGCAACGCAGTGCAATCCCTTGTGTCTGTGCAACTAACACCATTGTGCATGATGAAACCAGTAAGCAATCCAGCTGCTGTGAAAGAGAAATAGACACTCACTTTTCCAAAACATTCCTAATGCACAGTTTCTCTTGAACACACCCATCCACAATTGATTTCACAGGTTCCTTTTGTGGTTCCCAGATGCTCTGTAGAGCTCTGATGGCTGAGTATCTTGAGGATTTTTTATTTAGGCTTCAGGGGGAGAAGTGGATGAACTTTTGCTTCCCTGCCATAGGTGATATACATTAATGGGCCTGTTCTTCATCTCGCCTCTCCAGCATTTGTACAGAGTGAGAAGAGAACAGAGCTGCGAGTAATAATAGCGATCTGGAATGTGGATCCATATCATTCTGGCACACAACAGTGGAAATTTCAGCATGATTCAAAATATGGAAGTGTTTAGTGAATGAAACCTGTTAGCAGAACAGACCTACTAAATTCAAGTAATACTTTCCCCTGCATCACTGGTATGCGGGGTGTTACGAGGTATAAACTGATGCCCTGGGGTGCTTGTTGCTGCTCCAGGAATATGGTCATCTGGAAGGACTATGTGACTAGGGAAGTAAAGGCTAAATGAAAATGGATGAGGTCTGGCTCAATGAAAGGCCTTCAGCAGGTGCCAAGCCAAGATTTCAGTGTTTGTAACACCTGCTAAAGAGAAGGATATTTGCGTGCTCTGTGGCTTAAGAAAGGGAGCAGGACCTGTGAACTCTGAGCTGGGAGGACAACCCAGCTCCTTTATTCCTGTATCTTCTCTGTTGCTTTTTAGCTGGGTGCCCATGGGTAAAGTGCTTAACTTCTGCCTCAGTTTCCCCCATAGGAATCCATAGATGATACCCAACAGGGTAAGGATCTGGATTAATAGCAATAAAGCCTTTTGAGTTCCTCAGATGAAAGGCCTGCTTGTTTCAGGGGCTCGTTTTTTCTGAAAGGGCGGGAAAACCTGGTTGCTATCCAAGCAATTACTAAATGTAAATAATGTGTCTTTTTTGAAATTCCGTGTGGGTGATCTTAACAGATTAAAGTATACAGGAACCAGAGGAGGAAACCATCAGCTGCCTATAGGCAAAGGACATCTGGATGGTACAGATATGAGGCATTTGCATAGGTGAAGGGGTCACTTCTGAATTGCTTGCAAAGTAGTTCAGCAGTTCAGAAATTCTCTCTTTAAGGAGATTAATTAGGATGGGATATAAATGAAATATTAAAATTGAAACTGGAGGCAGCAGCTGATGGTATATTATCAGCTGCATGCCTATTAGGCTGGAGGAAGAATCCACAAACAAAGCTTTCAGCTTTCACAAACTGAGTTTTGTTGTTGATAGTGGTCACATTCTTTCCTCCTTGGATGCCCAGCACATGTATCCTTCAGTCATCTCTCCAGAGAGGTGTGCCTGGGAGAAAATTGTGCTGGAGAAGGGCAGCTGTGAAAATACTACTTGTTGAACCTGACATTCAGCCCTGCACCTTTGTGGATTCATTGGCTGACCTGTGCAGGGGAAACAACCAGATTTGCCTTGGATTCTGCAGTCCTCTCTTCCTCTCCAGTTTGCTCTCCAATAGGGCTCAACTGCCGCTGGCAGAGGAGAAGAGATCCAAACACTGTTCCTATTATCCAGCTCTGTTCAGATGCAGTGCTTAAAATGGGATGTAGCGTGGGATCCAAAGGAGTGCTGCATCCAAACTTCTCCAAGCCCATAACAAGAAAGGAGGATGTTTTCCGTGCTCTTTCCTGTTCGCTCTCTCCCTCTACCCCCACTTAACTATGTTCCCACTGGCTGGTTTTTGCCTGATGCGACAGGAGGGGGAGAAGAGGGTGGAGGGAGGGAGGGAGGAGCCTGCAAAACCCAAACATATCTTTGCAGAAACTTTGCTCTTAAAATGCAGCTTCTGCTGTAAGACAAATTGCTGAGGTACAAGCCAAGGTCTGCTGCAGAAAACTATTTAATTTCTGTCTGCTTCTCTCTGCTTAAGAGTGATAAATAAAGATTTTCATTGTTAATTGTAACCACATGTGAACTCCAAATAGAAAGATTAGGAAGGGGAAAAGGCTAGGGTCATTTTTGTTCTCTTTCCCAGGCCTTCTCCTGCAGCTCAGTTACATTTTTTCTTGTCTCCTTCTGCATTTTAACAGTATGTTTCTGAGAGCCCAGAATCCTGTCTGCTCAAATAGTAGGAGTCTGGAAGGCATTTGTGAGTCAGCAGTTTAAACTTTATTGACTCTTGGTACCAAATTAAAATCTAATAAAGACCATTGCTGGGCTCACTACTCAGGAGTGGAGATGGGAAAGAGAAGGAAATTTCTAGTAATTCATCTAGTTTTCGGGGGGTTTTTTGTTGTTTTTCAGTCTTTCAGATGTGCTTCACTCATTCACTGTAACAAATTACATTGGATTTTCTGTCTTAAGGGCCTGTCCTCACAAAGAAAAAAGTTGTATTTTGTAGTGCTCCAGCAACCTACTTTAAAACCTTACTGTAGGTAAGACCTACTATGGTTTTAACATTGCATTAACAAGTTATTGGAATACCAAGGTTTCTGACCTACCTGTGTTTGTCCCTTACCAAAACCCACCCTGGCTTTGCTAATCTTAGGTCAGTCTAGACAGACCCTTAAATATATAGCATCTAATTAACCATGTTAGCATCTCTTTTGCTCTCTCTCTTTTGTGTGCACATCTTGATTAAAAGACACCATATTAGTGACTCATTTAGCAGGGTTTTATTTACTTTCCCAGCAGGAACCTGTAGTAACTCACCCAGTTGTTTTTCCAGCCCTTTGTTAGTAGGCAGAATGGAAAGGCAGAAACAGGGTGGGGATGAAAACCAGCTGTATGGAGAAGAACAGTTGGGAAAGGGAAACGACAATCCTAGCCACAAGTGGATTCTCCAGCAAATCCGTGCCAAAATGCATACGCAGAACCTAGAGGATCTCAATGGCTGTCCTTCCCCTTGCGTTAAGAATAGTAAGTTTCAACTTGTTGCAATACAGTTTGCTAACTAATTTTTAAAGTCCATCTCAGCTGCAGTGTAATTTTAGGACCTTCTGGCTCCAATACGCTTGAACTCTGTGACTGTAAAACTTGAACTCTGTGATGGTGTAAATAACGTTTGTTGTTTTCTGCTTTAGTCTTGCTATGGCAGAGGTCTTAGCATGAGTGAGACATCGCCTGAATATTAAGGCAACTTTAGCTCCTGAAGAAAACAGTACTCTTGAGGATTAGCCAAGTCCTGCATTAACACAACTGTGGAAGCAACAAATATAAGGAAATTTCATCTTGTGACTGCTGGCGGCGTGCGTTTGTCTGGTGGTTATTTGTACCTGCTGGGGTAGCTCAGTGTCAGCTCCTTGACTACTGGTGTGTTTTATGAGAGCTGTGTCTTGATTCTTAGATCTCTTTATATTTATATTTCTCACTGGGACTAATAAATGCATTACATCAGTGCTATGCTACTACTCGTCTGGTCCCCTGGCTCCTCCTTTGCTCTCAACAATTAATGGAAGCATGTTGCCCTCTGTAGCCCTGCTCCCGTTGTGGATAGAAAAGAACTTCTGCCTGCAGCAATAAGCTATAGTATTTTACACCATTCTGGCCTGCACTGGAAGCAAAAGATGCAGCCTGAGCTCCTTCAGGCTTCTTGGCTGATGTCATTCAGACATCCCTGTGTGCTGTTTCCATCCCTTTAAGGCTTGGGTTCTGCAGCTGTTTAAGAGCTGCTGAAGCAATCTGAGTCCAGTTCTTAGCAGTAAATTGCAGGGGTGGTGTCTGGGTTTAAATGGGTAATTCTCTGTCCTCTTTCCCACTCACCCCATGATATAAAGCAAAGGATAGGGAGATGAACATTTTTTGCTTTATTTTGTACATGTAAGGAAGCTTACATGGCATTTTGGATGCTCTGTCTGAGGTGATTTCAGGACAAAAGGTGAGAAGCCACTGGTGCAGGGAGAAGCTCAAACAGGCTCCTCTCCATCCCTTTCTTTGCAGCCCATGGTAAAACTCCCAGTTACTTCTCTGTGTGAGCAATAAAGAGATACGTGGTTAGCAAGGAGAAGGATGTTTTTTCCTAGCTAGCTCGAAGCAAGTCCACTATTTATGAATCCATCTCGTGTTGGCTTTCAGAAGGCAGCGCAGAACCTAAAACCCATTGTTCCCATCAAGTTCCACATCTCCAGCCGAACGGATGCTGGCGTCCATGCACTCTGCAACTCTGCTCACCTTGACATCCAGAGGGCACCGGGGAAGCCAGCGTTTAATGAGAAACAGCTCATCTACAGTCTTAATCACCACCTGAAGCCTGAGCCAATCCGGTGAGTTGGTGGCAAGTCAAAATCTTTTATTTTGCCCTTGTTGGAGAAAGGAGAAATGCAGCAATGATCTCCCATCTTTACCCACAAGATATATTTTCCCCTGTTATATGTGTTGGCAAACCACTCCCATGCACGTGTGTATTTCTGCTACTACCAGACCCCTGGCACATTAAAGATCAGTCTTGTTCCACCATTATTGTTGTTAGGAGATCATCTATGCTAGTACCACTAAAACAAGAGTAGTTGTGAGAGATTGGGGTCACCATGTAAGTACTGAATCCACTGGGAGGACTCTAGTTTCACGCATGAGCCAGAACATTAGTATGTTAACTTTCAGTGCTGCTTTATTCCCCAAACTCCCTCTTTGTTTATTGAATTAGGACTTAGCAAAAACTGGCTGCAGTATTGCCTCTCACCTGTATCTGTGCAAAAAGATAAAGAACAAGCAAACGAAATTGCTGTTAGTGTTAGCATAGTCTACTCCTCCCTTCCCATGTGATCAGCCTCTCTTCTTGCCTGCTAGACCAAGGCTGCTGCTTGACGTGTTTTATAGAGGTTACATCAAAAGCTCCAGTTAGTATTTTTGTAGCAAGACTTGATGTTTTACTCGATGGGATAGATAAAGTCTTTTTCATACTATACCCACTGTTAATGACTAGGCCTAGTAGCATATGGATGTACTGGGGACCTTGATACAACAATCTACAGAGAGCAGAACAGCCATTTCTTCTTCCTGTTTTCTTCTCTTCTTTCTTCTTGTTATAGTTATTACTTCTTGCAGAATTTCAGAGTGAGCTTATTCTGCATGACACCTAGGTCTAAATGCCCACCCCCAAAGGCAGAAAAAAATGATCATTAAAACCAACAGTTTCTGTTAGGAATTTGCATCAGTTACACAAGAAATCACTATGCCCTGTGAATTTTTGAAAAAGTGGATTGAATTTCACGTTCCTTGCTTTTCTTCCCAAGCTGTTGTGCAGTTTCTCTGTCAGCTGTCAGTTTCTGTGTTCTTCCCCAGACATGGGTGCATTTTTATGGTTAAAGTGTAAATTGAATGAAACATTGGGGTTTTTAGACTAAAAGCCAAATCTGTGCTGTGTCATAGAATCAACATGCCATTCGCCCGCAGCTGCTTTGCTGCACTGTATTCTTTCTTGTGTTACTTTGTCTTATTTGCATAAACTAAAAACTCTTCAAGGCACAGACTGTCTTTGTCTATACAGTATTTGGCACAATAGGACTCGAATCTCTGTGCGGTACCCTGCTGAAGAGTGTGTCAAAGCAATTCAGAGTGTTGTGCAAGAAGACGGGTAACTTATAGGAGGTATTTAGGTGAGCAAAAGAACTTTGATGCAAGATGCCAACTGATAATTACTCAGAGGCTCTGTTTCACGTAACTGCAGTCTTTCTGATGTCTGGTGGCATGAACGTAAAGGAAGATAATGGAGGCAAATTCCCCATGCCAGAGCAAGAGCCCAGGACAAAAAAGCACATCCCTCCCCACCCCAATGAAAGGATTGTTGTAAGAATAGCAACATTACTATGAAGTACGCTTCCCTTCCTGCTTCACCCAGTCTGCTTTATTTTCTAATCTCCTCTTTGTGAAACAGGGCTTGACCCAAATGCTGACATAGCAAGGCCTGGGATTTGAGGACTGACATCATACTTGCATCTGTTCTTGGTTTTGCAAGGGAGGATTCTAGTTCTCCAGGGCTTGGGGAACAGTGAATCCAGCTCTAAATGTGCAGGTGCTCAAGTAGTTTGGGGTCTGAGGGAGGGAGAGATGAACGATAGTATTGCTTTTTTCCCAGGAGGTCTTTCATGCATGATCCATGTGCTATAAAAAGGGAAGAGTGAGTTAGTATGAGTTGGTTGAAGCTACGGCATGCTCTGCAGAGAGTGTTGATCTGCAATTCAATCAGCTGTTTTGACTTTTTCAAAGCATGTTGCAAACATTCAAACCTTAAGCAAAGGAAGGAACCAGAGGAAAGCAGTCCCAGGTGGCAGAGTCTTCTCTAGCTTTGACTACACTGGTGGGTGTTCAGTACCTCTGGAAACTAGGCCCCCAGGATCAGACTCTCCAAGGTGTCTGCCACTGTTTTTAGAGGAACAAAGCAGATTGCCATCCTCTGGTTGGCAGTAGAGATAGGCAGCTAATCCACAGATGTAACTGGGCAGTAAGACATTCCAGCATGCCATGGACATGCCAATGACACCTGCAGTGTTGGGCAGAGTCTAGCTAGGCTGCAGAAACTCTACATCTGCATTAACATTTTGTGAAACACAGCTTAACTAGCTTGTTTTTCCACCACTAGCTTACCTGGAGTAATGTAAGTGCTGTGTTGTTTAGCAGTCCCTGACACAACTTGCTCCAGACCTTGTACTAACTCAGTGTGAATCAGAGATGGACTGAAGGGGTCAGCTTCTGGCCATTCCCTAGACCATGTGCTGTTGGTGCAAGGAGCAGTATTAGGTGGAGGGACTCTGCCTCCAGAGTTCTGCTATGTCATGTCTAGAGGGCATATTAACTCCAGGGAACAAATTCCAACCTATGCTGACAGTCATGAGTGTGTGAGACAGTGGTGACTTGACATTTGCTGCTGTAACAAGGTCAGCTGAAACTGGGATCCCACCTATGTCCTTTCTGTAGGCCTATACCAAAGAAGCGTTTAGTGCCTGCAGCTCTCACGGCCTCAGGATTGGGTTTTGCAGTGTTTTCCTGCAGTGTTTCTGGAATTGTATGTCAGTGATGCTTTGCATTTATTTAAATACAGTGGGACCTTTTATCTGCAGCCTCTCAACTCGGTCAGTGACTGGAGCAGAAGCTGCAGCAGCTGTCTCAGAGCCAGCTGCATTCTTTCACCTCCGAAAAAGCACCAGGGGAGCCATCAGAGGGTTAAGGGGAAGAGGAAGTAAAATCCTTGGAATCTGAGCTCAGGCAAGAGGGCAGGAAGGCCCTGTGAGAGCCTTATTACTAGAGGCACATAGTTCCTGTTAGTAGCTGTTTATTTTGTTGTTTTAACTGACCTTTTTCCCTGGATGTTTACTGTTCCTTTGACAGCCCTCAGATAGTTTTGGGAACAGTGTAAGGCCACACCGCTTTTCCCCTTTGATCCTATGTCTTCTGACTGTCCATGTTAGCTTAGCTGTTGCTGTCCCTTCTCCATGAGACCCTCTTGTGATGTCTTGGAATGGGGTGAGCTCAGCCTAAAGGCAGCGTGAGATGACTGTTACGCTGCTTGGGCTTGATACAGAGTGTGGCTGCCATTAGAAATACACGACTGTCGATCCCCAGAAGTCCATAAGGGAAATTTCTCTTTTCCCCCGCTCCCCCCCCCTTATTTGCAAAAATGTGTTTTAGCAGTTTGCAGAGTTGGTTGAGTCTTTCTCTGAGAGCAAAGGTTTCACAGTGGGTACCTGAAAGAAAAGCAAATACTGATTTCACTGCTTTTACTACACAGCCCGCAGAGAGCCATGCAGTAACAAGTCAGATCATGCATCCCAAACCTGAGATTGAATATTAGCATGATAATATAGGATTGACAGTTTTACACTTACAAATCCAGTTCTTCCATTGGCCTCTTAAACTAGAACTGGATTCCTCTGCAGTGAGAGGCCAGAACACAAAGCAAATCTCTCTCTCAAGCTAGCTAAGTTCCGTGCTGAGTTACTGTCCCTTGACAGCTTTCACCTTCTTTGACATGTGTAAAGAGTCCAATGCAGCTGCTGTGGGCTGGGACTGGAGATGATTTCTTCTCACACTGCTGTGTCAATTAAAAAAAAAAAAAAAGATTCTGAAATAGAATTTGACTTATGTGGGGTTTTGGTTGTTATTTTTGCTCAGACTGAAAACTAGGTCAGAATCTATACACCCTGGAAGTCAAACCCTTTCTGGATGTTCTAGCAGTAACAGGGAACGTGAAGTAGGTCATAGTTTCGATTTCCTTCCTTAAAAGATTAAAGCAGTTGTTTGGGAGTCAAAACTAGCTGATTTTACATTGGATGTACCACTGCAATAATCAATCTGTTCTATGTGCCACCAGCCTCTGAATCTCAGTCTCTCTCGCCTGAGTTTAGGCTTGTAACTTGTGAGTTGTGTTGTCTAGCTTTAATGGAATAAGTTGTCCTAGAGAGCTAAAAGTACTGTTGTGACCCTGCCACTTTCAATACTAGTAGTCATACAGCTTCATAGTTATAGCTAGCTTTGTGATACCTTGACTGATCAGTCCAAGAGCAGACAGGATTGCTGCTGAAGAAAGTTTTAAGTAGAGAGCATCTCCAAAATATGGCAGCAGTGGGATCTCACAGACGGGAGAAGTTCTTTGTCTCGCGCTAAGATCTGACAGGTACGTATCAGGAGGTGATACCTTCTGATAAAATGCAATACAGTCCTGATCAGTTAGAGAGTTTGAGTTTATCAGAATGCAGTCAGCTCTACTTCTCCTTCCTCCCTTGGGCTGAACCTTTTAAAAATGGTTCAGCTGCTTTCCATTAAGGAGCTTGGTGACAGGCATAAGTCTAAGCATATTCAGCAACCATCCCCTCCCTCTGTAAATATTACTTTGCCAAGAAGAATTCTCTCCTAATGCTGAAGAGAAAACTCAGCACTTTCATGTGGTTGCAAGCAGGGGGTGATGGAGAGAGGGATCTTTGTGAGAACACATTATTGTCGATAGAGCTTGGAAGGGAAACAAGATTCCAAGCTGGCTGACTGTATCATCAGCAATAATAACCTTCTTTGTAGCATGATGGGTCTCTTCTATCAACTGATCTGTCTTTTAGATTTGCAAAGCGTATTTGAAAGGATCTTGTCCACAAAGATCAGAGTGTATTTCATAGATGGGGTAACTTTAGGAAGACTTTGCTGTCACTTAAGTAGGGATGGTAATACAGTAGACTCAAGCCTTCTATTTCTGGTTTCAGTTTTGTAAGCACATAATAAAAGCTATCTGGGTGACAACAAGACAGAGCTGGGATTCCTCCCACCTCCTGCAAATTGGCATTTAGTTTCTGTTGTCAGTGGAGAGAGAAGGATGTACTTCTGGAGGAGATCTTTGTACATTGCCATTGCTAGTTAGATGTCTTCAGGCTTTTTTTCTCTCAACCTCCTCTGAAATTCAGGCTCTGTTGAAAAGCTAAAGAATGCCATGAGTCTTTATTTACCAGCAGTCTTTCAAAAAATGGGATCTTAACAAGGCCTGAAATGTATTATGTTTGAAGAACTGCTGGAATAAATGCTGGAAAGACATTCCTAGCTAGAAAGAGCCTATGGTAGCAATTGCATCTGCTAGGAGAGGCAGGAAAGGATGCCTTGCCTGTGCTGAAGAATCATGTGAGCATAAATAGGCTTTTCTGAAAGAATCAATCTATCAGAGGGAGTAAAAGGATGGTTATTTAATAAAAATCACATAAGCATTAACAAGAGATGTTCAAGATGGATGAAATGCTTGTGGAGACATGTAGACAGAGAAAAATAAATGTTATAATTATATTATTGTGTTTGTAAGAGGCTGGAAGTCCTAGGTTCAAACTCCATTGCAGGCCTGGAGGATGTAGTTTGCATTTCTACTGAGAGTTTATAGCAGTGGAGCAATCTCCTGGGCTTGTTATTGCAAATCTTTGTGGAGGCTGTGGCTCAGCTTCAATTTCTTCTTCTGTGGTCTGAGCCTTCGCAGTCAAGGGACGTGAGCCAGACGCACTTGAGCTGGCAAAAATCCCTGAAGCACCAACCTTTCTAAAGTAAATAAATACGTTTATCTATTATTTGGTCCCAAATGGTATCATTTTTTTTTGGCTGGCCTGGGTCCCTTCTCCTCACTATGCCAAACTCCGAAGACAGAAAGGCACACAGCAGGAGAAAAACTACCTTCTAAGGAGAAGTATCCTCTAAAGTAACACCTGCAGAGAGATTATGCCTGTGTAATAGTGACTCCTTGCTGTATGCTCCCTGCAGTATGGTGAGTAGCCAGTACTCTGGGATAAGGGAAAATCAAATCCAGTAAAGCTGCTGCTGACATGTTCAAATCAACGATAACACTTTGGGGGAGGTGCAGAAACACAGGGAAGCTCTATTTTCTCCCTTGCCAGAGAGAAGGGTGTTTTCCCCTCTGACAGCCTTTGTACCCTCCCTTCTGGCTACCAAACTGTCTGTTTGATGGTTATGGTGGCATTGGCTTAGAGAAACAAGACAATTTCTCCCTCTTGCTTATAGAAGAAAACAGGGAAGTTCAGCTGCCTAGAAAGCTGCTTCTTGAGTTAACTGCCCAGAGTCAGAGGATGATGAGTAGAAGTGAACATTCCCAAAAGCCATTTTCTGTACATGTGAAATGCGAGAGTTCCCAGGAGGTCTCCTGCATGCAGCATTCTGCTGTTTTCAGATAGACTCAATGTAGGTGATGGTGGGATGCATCTTTATTTTCCTTGCTGCAGCAAAGTCCTATTTGTCTTGGAGGTTGTAGGGGGAGGTGGGAAGGAAGGAAGTGACCCAGTTTCAACTATCTCCATCTGCTACAATGAGCTGCGTAGCCACCTTTGAGAGGGAGCACAGAGGTATCTTTTGTCGGGGGAGTCCTTCCCACGTTTGGGACCATGGTTCTGCAAAAGCAGAAGGGCACAGTGTTTGTAAGGTGTGCTCCTCAGCTGGAGATAGAGGGAGTCAGCTTGCTTTGGGAAGTTGCTGCCTTTCACCTTAAGCATGGCTAGGAACACATGTGCCCTCAGCCAGGTGCAATACAATTTGATGGGCTGGGTGAGGTATTTGGTTTCACGTGCAACAAAGAACACATGCTATCGGTTGCCGTTTGTCAGCTGAAGGACTGATTGGTCTTAGCCTCATGTGATGGTGTGAGCGTCCCCAAGACTTGTTGATAGATGACCCAAAGTCAGTTTTACTGTGTATTTGATGAGAGGGATGATGCCAAGGTTCTCCTGCCGCCTTCTAGTTGATAGGTGCCTGTGGCAGCCTACAGGTGCAAATCCTTGGTCACCTGTTAGTCACTGGCTGTCAGGAGAGAATGATAATTAATTAATTGTAAGCGCAGTTTCTCAAAGAATCCATTGCATGTTTCAGTTCCTGTCTATGTGGTGACCAGGCAAAAGCTGTTGAATTAGTGTATGAAATTTCTCTCCATCTCATTTATTCTCTTCTGTCCTGACAGCATTTTGAATGCCTATCGAGTGACCAATAGCTTCCACGCACGCTTCTCTGCACTGTCAAGAACCTACATTTATCGGCTGTTGATGGGCTGCAGTCATTATTCTGAAATACCAGTGTTCGAAAGGGATCTCTGCTGGGCTCCTGTGGGAGGGTAAGTGTGTTCCATTAAACCTTGTTCCATTAAACCTCCCTGGGGAGCTACCTCATCAACATTCTGGAAGGGCTTGGCTTTTGAGGGAAGTGGGTAATTTCCACATGTGAGACCAGATTCCCTGTTTGTACTGACAAGATTTCCCTGTTGAAATCAGCGCAACTGCACTGAGTTATGTTCACTGAGACCTAAGACTTACAGCTCTTTTTAATTGTACTGTCAGTTGTACCTGTGATAAATATGCTTAGCACTGCTGAAATACTCAATGACTCCAGTTAGAGTCCATCAACAACTTTGTATGTCCCTCCCTGGGGAAGTGATGAGCATTTCCTCAGATGACCTTGCCAATTCATACAGCAAACCCATTCAGACAGCTGGCTGAAGGAACAGTGCTCTGATGTGATGCAGACAGGCAGAAACGCGTTGCACGGCAGATCTCAGAGTTTTAGGTGTGACCATCCAGGCAGTCAAGATTGAAGGCTGAGAATTCCTCTTTTTTTTTTTTTCCCCTAGTCCGATTTCTGGTAGTGACTGCATGTACATCTGCTTTCTCATTCCCTGTCTGAGTGCTTGTATATTTGAATAGTGAGAGCCAATGACTCTGAGCAACCCTACAATAACAAACCAGTGTATCTAGCTCAGTATTCATTTGTGTTCTTGGAGTAGCCAAGTTCTTGGAAAGTCATAACAAATCAGTGCTTGTATATGCAAGGGAAGAAAAACAAATTCAGTGCCATTTAAAAAAAAAACTTAGGGCATGATAAACAGTGGGTGAGGAAAAAACAATCAAAACCCAGAAGATAATTTGTTATTGTCCTTTAGTTTACATTGTACTGAGATAAACATACATTCAAGAAAACTGGAGTTTTCCACAACATCATAGAAAAACAGGTGTGTAGCCAGTTGTGGTAATTTCATCATCACTATTGGAATAACAATTGTGGGTAGTGGAAGAAAATGTAATCACAACTGTCCTAGCAGAGGAATTAAGATGACATTGTCCTAACATTAAATTGCTGACTTTCTTTTCTGTGGGCTGTGGAAGGAAAAAAAAATACAAAATTGCAAAATTAGATGTTACGTGTACAACGTGCCTTAATCTCGGGCTTTATGAAATAGCATTTAATTTAGTCCAGACACTGCAGTTAATTTTCTCAAATGGCAATACCACATAAAGGATAAGGAGAGCATATTAGAAATTCTGAATGGGAGGTGTCTTACTAAAAGGTGGGATATTTGGACTACTAGTGGTGGAGAAACTCATAGTGTGTGTGCTACTGAGCACATCTGGTGTATAAAACACATAATACACATTAAACTTCTGTAGGCATCTGAACTGCCAACTAGGTGTCATCAGCGTTTCTCAATGTGACCAGGATTCTCTAAATGCTCGTCATTTTTCTTGAGCACAGTGAAAAAATTTAATGATGTTGGAAAATGTCATCTTGATTTTTTTTGTTTGTTTTCTTCAGAAACATTTTGACTTCTGGTAAGATCTGAATGACTTAAGCCATAGATCATGCTTATTTGTTCAGGCTTTTCTTAGGAGAAATTCACAAAAATAGAATAAAAATAAGCATCTGTTCAGCAAATATATCAGTAAATCTGTCTAAATTCCTTTGCTTGAGACTATTTTGGACAGACCTAGATACTTCAGATGAAGAAATCTGAATGAGACTTGACATTCTGAGTTTTACCCTTGGCCCTTTCTTCTGCATCTCCACCTTGGGTTTACGCTGGCTTAATCTCTGACAGTTTGCTCACTCATTCCATTTCTGTTACTTCCTAATTTCATCTTCTAGCTGTTGCAAATATAAGGTTTGGAAAATCATCATAGTGTTTGATATTCTCTTACCTGGCAACATCTTTTTCAGTTTGTAAGATCCAGATACTGCAAAGGATTTTGGTTCTTTTGCCCTGTACTCTAGCCAGCAATTTGAATAGAGTTATTTGAATTGAACTGTTATAAGAAGCACAGCAGGATAAAGGTTTGTGTAAAAGCATGTGCCTGTCAACTCCTCATCTAGCCTGGGGTTTTGAATACTTTCAGACCTCAGGTCACTTGGTATCTTGGTTTGTGGTTTGGGCCGTTACAAGACAAACTCCATCTTGCAAAATGCGTTTCCACAATGCTGCCATGTTAAATCTGTGTGCCGGGTTTAAGCTTCTCATCAATTAATTGGACTTTGACCCATCTAACATACTTGGTCCCACCTAATGCTCCTTTCCTTTTGCTCTGCGTGTTTAATTTCAGCTACCTGAATGTGCCTGCCATGCAGGATGCAGCACAGTTCCTGCTGGGAACCCATGACTTCAGCACTTTTCGCTCACTTAACTCCGAAACAGCTTTTCAGTCTCCAGTCAGAACCATCCTCCAGGCAGACATCCGACCCTCTTCTGGTTTCCTGTCCCAGCACTACGAACACAGGTGAGAGCCTAGATACTCAGCTGAGGAGCTGCTCTGATCAGCTAGTGCTCGCTTTGTCTGAAAAGCTGCTTTCCAGCACTGCTTTGAGACCTGACCTCCTGTTTGCTGTGCATTGCCTTCACAGTCCTGTGATGGTGTCGGCAGGGTTCTGCCTAGTGACAGCTTGGAAAGGACACTTCTTTCCCTCTCCTCCCCAATGTCCTCAGGGAGAAAGATGAGCGGGAATAAGGGCAGGGAATAAGGGCAGGGAAACTGGTCCAGTTGTTTGTACATTAAAAGGCAGGATGTTACAAACTGGTGTGTGGAATCTGAAGCAGAGCAATTCCTATGAGGTGCTTCCAGCATTTACACTCATTTTGGTTGCTAAAGGCCAATTCTGCCAGGGGATGGGATTCCACACCCCCCCCCCACACCGCCCACCCCCCCCCGCTGCTGTCCTAGCTTTGCCTAAAGGCTGCAAATAGAAGGAAAAAAACCCACCCACCACCTAGGTCACTGCTGTAGCTATGCAGATCTACTCAGTTCATACCAGTAATTTCTACTGTCTTCCCAGGGGATGTTGATGAAGGAAAATCCAATATTCCTCAGTCATTACATAAACAATAGATTGTTGAGTGTCAGGTTCCTTCAGGACCAGGTCTTGCAAGTATTGAAATTAAGTGGCTGGATGTATTTTTCTCTCTAGCAGAAACTGAAGTTTTTTCCCATAAGGATCATGGGTATTTATCATCTGAACATGGCTTTTGCTTTCATGCTGGCTTCTTTACCAGGCTGTTGTGTTTCAGCTTGAAAGCAAACCTTGCTGTTGTCTGTCTCCAAGCCATGTTTTTCCGCTTTCTGATTAGGAGAAAACCCTTTTCTTTGAAGATTTCCCCAACGACCCTCCATTAGATTTGAATACTACTGAGCTGTCTGTAACAGTAAGTGCCATGCTCCAAGCTTCGGAGCCTCACTGCTGTTTGCAAATAGCCCACTGTTTCTTTCGCCATGTCTTAGAATGGCATATTTTGCCAGCAGTAGCGTAAGACAAAAACTGAAAGGGAGCTGCAAAAACAGAGGGAGATCTGTATACTCCGAGTGACCCTAGTCTTTCAGTTCCTCCCAGTTCCTCCCATCTTCTCTGATTCCTGCTTTTCCTGCTCAGCGTTGGTGCCTGTCAGTACACAGCCGTGTTATAAAGAGCCACCCAGTTGGGTATGGCACTTTCACTGCTGCTCTCTGCTGTATAAGCACAAGGACATGGGCAGTTAGTGCCAGATAAAACGCTTACTTCCCGCCTTCTTGCAGGTGAGAAACACTGTCCCGATGGGAAAAGGAAGGCTGGAGCGGAAAATGAGTGCTGTCATTTTGCTGTTTGTTATTAGGTTGCCATTGCTGAATGGAGAGCTTGGTCTCCCTCCGTCAAGTGTGGTTATGCTTAGGAACACAAGTAACAGTGAAGTGCTTCATCCACAAGATTCTCTTGTCCTTTATGATGAGTAGCCTTGTAACTGGCAGAGACCCAAGCTAACCTGAAAATAACCCTTAACAGTCTTGTCTAGGTCACTTGTGAGTGCATATGGGCCAATTTACCTTCCAAATCCAGACCTGTTATTGTCAGTTGACTGATCTCTGAGATTTAATATGGATCAGCTCTTTTTTTATGTCTTAGATTTTAATTTTAAAAAGGAATTTGCTATTTCTTGCATAACTCGCTGCATAAACCCATCCCACATGAGGCCAAAAACAGCTCACGAGAGAGAGGGTAAACCCAAAAACTGGATCAAAAGCATCAAGCTAGTGGCTGATGGAATATTTTTGCTTTTGGTGACACATGCTTCCAAACTTGTGTTTTAAAGTGAGTCATTTTTATAATGTGTCGATATTAATTGATTTAATGAACGTTTAGGCTGAAGGGGATGGCTTTGAGAAGCCTAGTTTCAATGCATTTAAATGGCATTTAACTCTCTCAGAATACTTTGTTAGTAATAACCACAACCATAAGTTTTCTGATCTAGAGAAAAAAGTTGTGGGGTTTGGGTCTTTGTGACAGGCTAGGTGTTATTGGGGTTTTTTTTGTTTGTTTGTTCTGGGTTTTTTAATTACAGTGTCCTGGTTACTTTTAATCTGTAGAAGTCTCCCTATGGGAACAGTTGCAGTCATGGAGCTTGGTGGTTTTTTGCCCATTCTGCAAATAAGACGGCAAGTATGCCTGAAGTGCGTGTGTATTTCTTCAGTCGCAGAATGAACTGTTCCTGCAACGAAAGGGCTGGGATAGCAGTAAAATCTTATAAACAGATTTTTTTTTTTTTTTTTTTTTTTTAGCCTAATCTAAGGGGGTTTATTTTCTGTTTCAGAAGGAGAAATCCATAGAGTGATAAACCATGGTCTCTTAGTTAAATAATGCAGCTTTTCTTTCTCATTCTTTCCTTCCTTTCTGAACTTAAACCGATCTTCTGAATTGACCACTTGTCTGTTTAAAAGGTTAACTGTTAAAATGATTCCTTCCATCAAATTCAGTTGCTCAGCAACAGTGGAAGTGGAGTTAGTGTCCCATCCATACAAAATGCTTTTGAATGCTAAGGATGTGTACAGAGACTTAGCCCCATCACTTATTTCTGGGGAGTGATTGCTCTATCACCTGTTTTCTAGCTGAATATGTATTATTCATTGCAAGGTGCTGGCTTCTGCTGCCAAGTGGAAAAAGACAGCTGGATTTTTTGCTGGTAAGCAAAATTATCTGTGAGATTGACAAGAAAAACAAAGTTTCTCTCTTAAAGAAAAATATCTTGTTCTCTTTCAAAGTCTACAAGATATTTTTCCTAAGTATCTTGACCCATCTTTTGTAGCTTAAAATATCTTGTCAAGACAACCGAGACAGGAGAATCCTGGCTAAAGAAGGCGCATGCAATTTGGTGAGAGGGTGGTTTGTGCCTATTCAAAAAAATTGTCTCTTGTGCTTTGCTAAGGAGCTGAGCTGAATTATGACCTCGATGTGCTGGGTATTTGCACGTGTCTGTATGCCACGCGCATCGAGCTGGGGGGAGAGCAGGCTGTACGTAAGTGATAGAAACGTTGTCATTTCCTGACATAAAGAGGAATCCGGGGGCAGGAGCTGCCTTTGCATATGCCAACATACACGATAGGGCGGGCTAGAAGCAGTAATTTATAAATCACTGTAAATCCAGTGAGAAAACAGCTTGTGGCTGCTCCCTACAGTGACTATTTCATAGTTTCTCTTCCTGCTAGCCCTGCCCTGATGCCCTGTGTGGGCCTGTGAATCACGTTGTCCCTGCTTCACCTTTCTTCTATGGCTCACAAGAGCTGTCTCCTCTCCCAGGGAAGGGGCAGCCCCTTTCTTCATACTCAGGTGTTTCCAGCAAAGCCAGCCTGTCCATCTGAACCCTCCAGACAAATACGTTGCAGCTGTGCTTTTCTAACAGCTGATTCAAATCTCCATAGCCCTTTGATACCCCATTACTGGGCTCATTGCAAGGGAGGAGAGGAGAGGGTTTGCATGTAAATATTTGCTTTTATGGATTATGCAAGGTAAACTTTGTCTCTTTTTGCTGTAGGAATGCTATGGGATATAAGGAGCACTTATAAAGTGTTAGTGAGTTTATTTATTTTTTATTGTTATTTTATTGTTCCTTTTACCAAAGTGACTTCTAGGATTGCTTGGTAGCATGGAAGTTTGGGGATGCAGGTACTGAAGTGAAAACCTGCTCATTTCTGGGCTCTGTTGGCATATCTGATGTATGATACACGTGTGTGTGTATGTTTTTATATATATCTAATGTGCATATCAGATTTTTTTTTTTTTTTTAATTCGTAGGAAGGAAATGTGCATACAGGTTCTTCCCTGCAGACTGTACCTGAGAATGGGTTTGCATTGGGGTTTAGCGTTAGAGCTGGGACTGGAACATCAGCAAAAACACAAAAATATTTAGAAAGATTTTGTAAAGATTTAGCAGAGGATGCAAGTGTCGGTACATTATTGGAATAGTTAGCATCAGTAGAGTTCTTATAAGGAATATTGGTTACTACCGTAAAACTTTCTGGAAAATGGTATCTATATGAACAGACAGATTTGGTGAGGGGAAAGGATGTCTTTTTGCATAGTAGCATCCATCCATCCCTAAATATTCATCTGCCGTTTCCTGCTCTGCTCAGTCTTAGCCTGGAGTGCTTCCTTGTCTGCCATTGCCCGTGTTCTGAAGTTGCAGCTGGATTCCTCAGACATGTCTGTATCCTGACTTGCTTGTCCTGGCCTTTCCAGTAGCATGTGGATGTCGCAGTAGGCATTGCTGAGTGTTGAAATTCATCCTGCAAAGCCTGTAAGGACCGTGTGATTCTCTCAAGCCAGCTCCAAATGAAATGGTAGAGTTGCTTTGCCATGGTTGGTTGTTTCTTCCTTTCTCCAGGAGGCATCAGACTGCATTCCTCAAATCAGTAGTACCTTAGCAGACTGCTAAGTTGCATCTTGTTTTATGTTGCCCTTTCCCTTTTATTTGAATGGTTATATACTTAGGTGTAAGGCAGCAGGAAGATCAAGCCATAAAACTAGGTACATACGAAAGAGGCAGGAATTGTTTCACCCCAGAAAATGTCTACATCTGAGTAGCAAATGAGCAGTCTGGTGTTTGAAAGCTCATGATGCTGTTTCAGGTTAATTGGAGGCTGTGCAGCTTCTTATTCATTCTACTCGCATTCACCTTGATTTATACTTTTCTTGTGGGTGGAAGAGCCATTTGAAATGTGTTTTTAAATGCTTTTTTTGTTCCTTTCTTTAGGAGACTGGAGTTTTGGGAGTTGAAGTTCAGGAGCAGATCATTTCTTTACCGACAGGTACTGTTTGGTGCTGTATTCAGCACACACTTTGCCTCCAAGAACCAAAATACTGCTATCACTATAACTATTGATCAGTTTAGCGATGTTGCATCCCTGTGTAGTGCCATCCCTGCTCCAGAGCTAGTGTTATAGCTGTGTGACACACACAGGGACCTAGATCAGAAAGGTGAGGTTCTGTATTCTTTGTTTGATCTGGTAGAACCGGAATCTCTTAAGTTTGTCTCTAAAATGAATGTCCGAAGTCACAGAATCGTGTGGGAGGATGGAAAGTTCTGTCTTCCGCAATCTTTGTCCTTGCAGTCTAAGTGGTAAAAACCATCAGACATATGTTCTTGCTCTGCTGAATGGCACTGGGCCCAGCAAAGACTGCCTGGAATTTTACTTTCTGGCTTTGGAGCATGAAGTAATTCTCAGTGTTGCACAAAGGAGAGATGGGAAGACCTGATTCAGCTATGCAGGCATGGCTGCAGGATCTTTCCCTCTGCCATGCTGCCTAGCCTCCACTGGGTTTTCTTTGAAATAACTCCAGTGGGGTTTTTGCTGCTATCCTCAGGGGAGACGGCTCTCTCCACAACTTAATGGATCACCTCGTTAGGAAAGAGTTGGCTGTTCTCAGCCTGCCTATCCTGGCCATGGTCACACTCTGGAGACAGAATAGGCAAGAGAGGGCTTGTTTTTTGGAGGAGAGAGGGGGTGTTTTGTGGGAACAGTAAGCAGCTATTTTTTATTCTGTTTTGACAAACCAAATTTGTTTTTATCCTGTGCCAAGTAATGCTCTGTAAGCTCTCTGACAGTGGGTGTCTGGATATGAGCAAGGGAAGAACAACAACATGCTTGAGAAGGGCTTGATATACAGCAGGGATTTGCTTCATCAGATGCTCTTGTGACAAGGAGAAAATGCTGGTAACCCATTTAGTGCATTAGAACGGAAATGCTACTTAGTGACGTTGTGCAGAGAGAACAGTTACCCATAATACTCAGCTCAGCCTAATGCTCTCTCTGAACCTTGTTTGCAGCAGCTGCCTTACAGCAAGCTGGCAGGCTGTAGTGAAGCAGGAACAGGCTGTACACGCTGAACTTGCACTCTTCTACCTGAGCATCTGCGTCTGCCCTCCATCATAAAGAGGAGACTAGACTAGATGGACCTCATATCTCATCTCATATAGCTGCTATGATAAGTATTGACATCTGGAGATTTTTATTAGAGAAAAGGGTTAAACAGCCCCAAAAACTGAATGTATATATTTTTGCTGAATAGCATGCAGAAGGCGGGAGACACCAAGCACATGGTTATTTCAGTTGCATACCCTTAATCTGCATTTACACTAGCTAACTCCAAGTGTGCAGACATCAGAGCTAAAGTCACAGCATACAATGACCTCTAGTGAGAGATGGATAAAATAACATATGTCAAGAATCTCTGCTTCTTCTCTGTGCCATCTGCTTAAAGGCGGGCTCTTGGCACTCCACAATGCAGTTTAAGATCAGAGCACATAGGGAGAGACAGTGCTTGCCTTTGGATAAATATACCTTGGCTTGTTGGACCTTTCTCTTTAATGGTGACAAACATGATCACGTTGCTTAGTGGACTTTGGTTTATTCTTTTGTAAATGTTAATGGATCAGACACTTAGACCAATGCTTCATTCAGCGCTACTTTGAAGTTTTTGGAGAGCTTGGTACGCTTTGAAAGGTCATGAATAGAATGAATGTTTATTTAGGCCAAATGACTGATCATGCCTGCGCAAGTGGGGATGTGTTCTGGCAGCAGCATGAGAAGGTGAATCAGACAAGACAGTGTCTGCTTGACCAGTTTCCCCCACGTGGGCTGGTACTGCTGTTGCCTGTAAAATTTGAGACTGGTGGACAGTTTGTCCAGTGTGGACAGAGAAGAGTGACTAGAAAATGGTGGAAGTGTGGTGGCTCGGGATCAGCCCGTGGCAAGGGCTGAGTTTCAGTGTGGCTCCTCTGTCAAGTAAGACTCAGGCCCAGAAAATCTGTGGCATGTTCCCTTAGGCTGTGTGAGCTCTCCTGTGAAAATGAGTACGGGCAAGCCCAAGCGAAGTGCCGGCAGCTTCTGGGAGGGGGTTCGGCTAGCTGGACACCACCAGGCTGGGTAAGCGCATAGCATTGTGTGAATTCTTTCCCCTCAGAGAGGCATTTCTCATGATGGGACTGTTCATGCCAGCCTGTTTGCTCCAGCGGCACTGGGACAGGGCCTAGCTTTGCTTGAGCTTTATCTCTTGCTGAACAAAAGCCTGAAAAGGACTGCCCTTCTCTGTCTTTGTCCTTTGTTTCCCCAGGGAAACAGATGTTTCCCTGAACCATCCCTAGATGTTTCTTGCACAAGCTTTCTCGACGCCTGGGAAAGCAGGTAATTGCCTGTATACTAGTCTCTCTAGGAGTGCCTTGCTGAGAGTACTTCTGGCACCAGTTGAGGGGCTCTTACTTGTCAGTTATTCCTCGAGAGCAGCTTCATGAGGCTGCCTTGACATAAGAGGTACCAGGAAGATTAGTGGTCCGTACTCTGCCTTCAGAAGGATGCCTTCAGCTCGTGAAAGGGGTGGAGAGAAATGTGGCTGCCACCCAGGGATGTAATAGATAGTTAGTCATAGGGAACCAGCATTTGGTGTGCAGGTGGCATTGGCAGATACAAGTCTTGGCGCTCCTAGAACAGCCTGTCTTCTAGGAATATAGAAGGAAAGGGTGTTCATTAGCGAAGAGGATGCTGAAGTGTGAGGGGTGTTTACGCAGGAGGTGAGCACTGTGGTGTGAAATTTGTGCTAACCCACTAGGTCTGGAATTGCTGAGTGTGGAGGGAGGAAAGGGAAGTTGTGACATGCAGAGGTGTTTGAAATACCAGCTTGCTGCACTGGGAGGATGTTGTCTTGTGGGCTGTCCTACTTGGTTTTTTTTCCTCTTACTTTTTTGGCTTTCTGAGAGAGAAGCAAGCCCCTACATAGTCCCCCACCTGGAAGCAGTGGTGGGACTATGTATTAAGTTGCTTATGTATTAAGAACCACCTGTGAGCTCAACTTTCCCAACAAGCATGTAAGCTTCCTGCCACAGACAGATGTGTGAGTGCTGCTGTTGTTTCTGAAAAAGAAACCATCCTCTGCTCAGCTTTCTTCCTACATGTGACGAGAACAAGCCTTGCTCCAAGGCAGTGCTGTGTAGCTGGAGATCATTGTGTTACAGGTCCTCATTTCATTCTTACTAATGTCTTTAGCTGTAGGGAGGGAAGACTTAAAGGAAGGAAGGTGATTTTGCTAGTTCTTTTCCCTTTCCTACCACCAGCTTTGGTCACTAGAAGATTCTGTGCCTCTGTGTGTTGCAGACAAGCTTAGCTGCCCCATGTTGTCACGTCAGTGCAGAACCTAGGCAGCCCATGCAATCCCTGCTAAAAGTGGAAAGAACACCTTTCCTCGGTAGGCTGTGGGGTGACTGTGACTGCTGGGGCGTCCTCGGGGACTAAGGGAGTATGATCTTTCTGAAGAAATAAAGCAAGCACTGGAAATGCTCCCTGGAGGTAATGTGATACCAAAGGCATACAAGGGGCAGCCAGGACTGGCTTGAACCCTGATGGGTGAGTCTGGAGCATGACTTGGGATACTTCAGTGGCACCTGAAACAAGGGTCAAAGTGTTCTTTTTGTGGGGAGATGCTTGCTTCTTTCTTAACACCCAGCTGGACTAGAAGCAAAGTGCATGGCAGTGGGAACAACTGATAGTACTAGGAACACCAGGAATTAGGCTTTCTGGGAACTATTGGTTTAATAATAATGATGTACCTATATTTAGGAGCAGGCTCATATTACGAAATCATGGTGATATCATTCTTTCCTGAGTGACAGGCACTGAACTCTCTGATTAGGTTTCTAGCTTGACTTGCCATCAGTAGTAACTGTGGGCTATTACACAGCGCAATACTGCTGATAGCACGAGTGCAGGACTCCGGACAGAATTTCCTAATATCTTTAAGTTTTACAAAGGCAGCTCCTAAGCTGTATTCTCTGTTTTTCCAGGTCCGAAGAATGGTTGGGGCTCTAGTTGCAGTTGGCCAGGGCAAGTTAACACCTCATCATATAAAGGAGTTACTGGAGATAAAAGATTCACGGGCTTTTCCATCAAATGCCATGGCTCCGCCATCTGGACTCTTTCTAAAATCAGTGGAATATAATGAAGCAGGTAGGTGAATGCAGGGAATGGCATTCTTTTTGTCTCTAATACTGAAGGGAGCAGTAACACCCACAGTCTTCCTTTATGTGCCGGCTGACCTATGGCTCACGGCTTTATTCATTGACACCCACATCATAGTGAATGCCCCGGACTGTAAAGGTGTTTACAGCAGTTGCTATGGAAAAATTGTGTCTTTTTTTCTCCTGGTAGACTTCTTCCTCTTACTTGCAGGGTAGTAGAAGAGAAGTTGTGTTGACAATGACTTTGAGATCTCACATGAATGATACTTTCAGTTCTCATAAATTCTTGTTCTGTCCCTGACCATGTATAAAGACCAAATTGTCTCTGGTATCTAGGTGCCTACAGATCCGTTTCTGTTCACTCGCTTCTCCCTTGGTATTTGTGAGAGGATTGTACAGACTGGAGAACAGATCATCCTTTTGCTTATATGGTGGCTCTCTAAACTACTTAAGTTTTTTAGCTTTAAAAAAAAAAAAAGGGCGGGGGGACAAATTTGCAGAGGATGGCAAATGGATGTCATGGAAGTTTGACATCCCTGCTAGGGATAGCAGGTTTTTAAAACTGCAAGGATTAATCTGTCTCTGATTAATCCAGTGCCTGTGAAATGTGGATATAGAGGACTTTCCACCATACTGCAGACCTTCTCCAGGTTGCCTTGTCGCAGCCAGACCACAGACCTATTACAGGTGGGCTTAGAGCATGCTCTCTGCTGCAGCAGCAGTGCACACACTGGGGCTTAAAGAAGACAGGAGGGAAAGGGAAGCCACAAAGAGCCACGCAAGGAGCTTGAATGTAGTTCTGAGCACTTGGCCTGGCCTTGAAAAGGCAGCTGCTGCTGCTTGCTGGTTTTGGCCCTCTCCAATGGTGCTTTTCCTCATAGTGCTTGCTGTGGGGCTGCCTGTGCCAGTGGGGAGGGAGCCCAGGCAGGAAATGACCACAGATTTTAAGTGCTTTCAGGTGGTTTCAGTGCCATCTTTTTCCTTAAATCAATGTTTTCTTTTTTTCCTCTCAGATTTGGACACTACCATTGCCCCAGGAGAATAGCAGCTCTATGAGATACAGCCATGTCTGAAAGGACTGTTGTTGTGGATATGTGATGGAGGTTTGCCAAGCGCTCTTTACACAATACACGGTCTTGTCTCAATAAAAATCATTGATTGTGACTGTAGGCATCTTCCTATCATTTGTTCTTGCCCTCTGAGACTGCCAAGGGGAAGGGAAGAACAACTCCATGCTGCTTTCAGATAACTGCTTTTTTTTTTTTTTTCTTTTTTCTTTCTGAAATTCTGGTGCCTGTCTCTCAAACAGGAGGAGGAAGGAGTGGGGCTTGGGGTTTTTGTTTTGTGTTTTGTTTTTTTTTTTCCTTCTGTGGTGTGTGTGGAAGGGATACAGACTTAGAACGGAGGAGAATGTAGCATTTCCTCTCTGCCCCTCTCCTCTGTAACCCTGCCTTTGTACAGCACAGCGCAAGGGACAGCTGTTACTGTTTGATGCAATGACTTACAGAAACAGCCTTTGAAAGTACTCGCCGTTTCCTCTCCTCATCAACAGTCACTCTTGCTGATCTGTAGGGGCTTTTACATTATCCTGTTCCCTGCTACAAAGTCATGTCTGTTGCACTTAGGATGTGGCATGTTACAGAGCAAAGTTCCTTTAAGGTCACTTAAGACCTGTTTTAATGGTCACACCTGGGGCAGTAGCACAGGAACAGCTATATGCGTGAGTCAGCCTAGTCCCGAAATGAAGCACCTTTGGGCAGTGGAGGCTCTGTAGCCAGAAGGTGCCTGCCACACTCTTGCTGGGCTCTGATTTGTTTGTTGCTGCCTTCTGCTCTTCCATAGTTGTTGGTGTGGCGGTGCTGCAGGGCACGCGTGATCTAAGGGTGTGTGAATCATAGAGCAGAGCAGAGGGCAGAGAGAACTCTTTTTTTTTTTTTTCTTTTTTTTTTTTTTTAAAAAAAACCACTATAATCTCAGGTTTTGCCTGCTTGCCCAAGTAATGAAATACACGTTGGGTAACTTGGGGGTTTTTTTATCGTGAATGACACCAGAATCTCTGTCTGTTTTGGTTATAAAATGACTGTTAAAGTGCCAGGATGAAAATTTTGACTTCTGAAGTTTCTTCACAGAAGAAACAATACCTGGTTTAAACACTCTCCTGCAGCGGAAGCAATGTGCAGCTGAGATGCCTGGCACCACCATAATTAATCTTCCTTTTGTCCATGAGAGGAGGAGAAGAATTACAGAGAAAGCCAGTTTATCAGAGCAGACAGCCCACTTGATCTGGTAAGAGGATGTTCTTTGTTATGTGGCAATTCAAAGTGATACAGACTATTGCATTCAGATAAATAAAGGAATAATCTTAATAACCCCTTAAGAGACTATGGAGTTTCCACTCTCTGCATGGTGAAGAGCCACAAGGTAGGTAGAGAGGGAGGCAGCCATTCTTCTTGACCTCTCTTAAGGCCACCCTTGCCTTCGGCTGTGGGGATCAAGTTAGTGAGTGGTCCTGATAGAGGATAGGACAGCCCATTTCTAGGTGTCCCCTCATGAGAAGTGATGCATCTCTTCTCCACTCTGTTCCAGGTAGCAGTTTTGCCAGAGACCTACTTTTGACAGCACGGGAAGGAAAGGCAAAATACTTTTGGTCACTCTCTCCCTTCCTGTGCAGCATGCTGCCTGCCAGCTGCTTTATTCCTTCAGGGACTAATTCCCGAAGAAGACGGCAGAACCTTGGAGGAGTCCTGCGTCTCTGCCATGGAAAAGGAGAGCTGAAGCTGCTGTGTTGCTAGTGTGGTACCTGTTTGTGCTTTTCTGGTACAGCCTTGCTGGATAAGTACCCAGAGGCAGGGATGCTGTAACATGCTGCAGTGATTTTTTCAACACAAGCAGTGGGGCTTGTCCATCTGCGTTCCAAACTCTAACGTGCCCATGTCTTTTTAGACAGCGGTTTGCCAGAAAGGGAATGGCAGCAAAGTCTTGCTCTTCCCCGCTGTGAGGGGAAGTGAGAGTGCAGCTACAGGCCCATCTCAGTCTCGGACTGAAGCACTGGTACCTGGTTTCAGAGAGGCTCTGCAGACGGCGGGGACTGGAGGGCAGGGCAGGCTGGGGGTGATCAAGGTGGCTTTGGTGGGAGCGTTGTGCCTCACTCTCACAGTGGATCCGTGGAGAGAACTAAAGCATGCACTAGTGCTGGCTCTGTGCTGTGCTCTCTCCCCAGATCTGCGGGGGTACAATTCAGTAGCGGGGCAAGTGCTCTGTCTTGGATCTGAGCTTTTCATCTTCGCTTCCTGTGGTTTCTCTCTGTAGAGCAACGTGGGAGAGCTCTGCAGTGTGTCTTGCAGGGCAGTTTGCTCTGGTGTTAAAACTACGCAGAAGAGCTTGGCGGTGGCCTCGTAGTTGTGAGGACTCTTTCGAGAGGCTAGTGTACTCATCTGCAGCTTTTGCATGAGAGATGATGATCTGAGCTCTGGTAAGTTAACTTTCTAACTAAATTTATTATGAGTCTTTACAGGGCAGAAAACCGAACCAAATGCTAATGCTGTTCGGGTGTTAATTAAGGTAACTCCTACTGCAGGCTCAGGTGTCACTGCTGCTTTGTTTTGTTTTGTTTTGTTTTTTAAATAGTCGCAGTGCAAAAATACCTGCTATTGATGTTTCTGCGAATGTTTCCAAACTTCTGGTTACAATAAAAACCTATTGCGCTTATGGGCTTGTTATCAAATCCAGTTACTGAGCAACCCAGGTTCAGCTATCCAGACAGTAGTCCAGAAGTAGACTAACTGGCTAACCCTGCAGTTAGAACTGCACAAAGAACTGTTGTGGGTTTTTGCTTTGTTTTTTAAATCCCAGAGCAACTGTTAAAAATAACCTAAAGACATTTAATTAAAGAACATGCTGTCTTGGCATCATAAAATATACCATCACTAGAGAACTTCTGTACAAACTCCTAGTCTGAATCGGTTTTTTTGGTGTCCATCATTAATACTTGTTACTTTTATCAAGGGGTATTTAGCATTCTTTTCCTTTTTATGTTGTTGCATTACTAATTCTTTTCAGTTGATTCAATTTGGACATGCAATACATGGGGAGATCTGTCTTTCTGATTGACAGTGATGCTTTAAAACTAAAACGAGAAAAACCTCACGCTTGACCAGAGTTCAAAGACTCAAGCTTGGTTTTATATGAAAACATTTCTAATAATTTAATGAACTCAAAATCCAGTGGAAACTTTGATGTATGCTTTTATGTGTTTTTGTAAATCGAATAACTTCGTACAGAAACAGAAGTTCAGAGATGCTTTTTGGTTGTCTGGAAAAAATAACAGCCCCTGTACCCCCAAAAAAACCCAACCAACAAAACAACCCTGGGGAAGCAAAGCTGAATTTGGAATTTGAGCAGGCTCCATACTTTTAAAATGGTAGATAAGTAAATGGTACTACATTATTATAAGAGATGAAAGTGGCTATATACTTGGAAAATACATGTTTAGTTGTAAACTCTGTGGCTTCTATTACCTCTCACAGGGAATGAAAATATTTTCAAACTGATGTACATGCTGGGGTCCTGCAGTGTGTATATAACTGTTTGGAACTGGGTAGAAGACCAGCTTGTAAAAGACTTGTAAAATACTCCGTGTCAGTGATTTATTCAACCCTCCTCCACTGTTCTTCACTTCTGCTGTAGTTGAAATGGGTTCATGTTACTTGATGGGCCACATCTAGGATGGTGAGCGCTCGTGGGTACAAGCATCTCTGTGTCAAGCTTCACCTGTTACTTCCCAGCAATTGAGGTGTCGGCGTTGCCCACTGCCCACTCTAAGAATGTAAGACATAATGTGGCATCCTATTTCAGATGGAGAAGGATTTAGGGGATTAAGTGAGACTACGGGTGCTGAAAGCAAGTGATATTAGTGTAGTATCATGGTGCAAGCAGCTTCTGTGCCTTTGGCAAGGCCTTGAAACCATACTGCCGGGGATCTGAGTGGAATCGATTGTAGGCAGTGCTTTAGCAAGACTCATTTTGCCGTCTCACGGCAGTCAGTCAGCATTAAGCATACAGAAACTCTTGTGGTGTCCAGCTTCTACAGAATCTGGGGACAATGTATGTGCTGTTTGGAAAAATTGCTTTTGTTTTGGACCTGTTACCTGACAGTGTCTACGGATGTCCTTGCTGGGCTTGGCTTGTGAGAAGCAGTAGCTAATCAGTCCCCTTTGCCGTCCTGCCCCTTTAATGATTTTACAGGCCTCTGCCTTATCTTTCCCCAGTTGCAACACTATGCTTTGAACCTAGAAAAGATAGGTGTTTGGTGGCTCTTGCTTTGGCAAAACTCTGAGATAAAGGTTGTTTCAAGTCCTAGGCTGCTTGAAGTTATGGCTTAGCCAAGCCTGGTTTTGTATTAATTTTCCTCTGTGTGTGTATGTACAAACCCTTTGCTATTAGGTGAAAGACCCATGTAAGCAGATATGTATGCTTGCCTACTTAAAACGAAACCATTTTTTTCCTTTCTAATCTTCCAGTTATCATCTTGGGTGCTTTTGACTTCATTAGATAAACAGCTATTGGGAGGAAGTGTGATTTCAGAGTTTCCTTTGGAAAGCACCCAACAACTTTGTATTTTTGTGCGTTCGGTGGCTTAGCTTTAGGAACGTCGTGCATATTGTAGCTGGGTTTAATTTCTCCGCTGCCTTTAAGGGCTTCTGTTTAGGTGTCTGTGTTTGGCTTAGGTACGCAGATTTCTTTTATATTTGATGGAGAGAAACTTCACTGCTGCAGTGCAGTTTATTGCTTACGTGATGCGAGTGACCTAGATGAGGAGTCCTTCTTATGCAGTGCCTCTTTCCCATATTTCAAACACATAAACTAGTCCTTTAGGCTCCCCTTGTAACTGAGATGAGTGGTGGTTTCCCTCTGCAATGTACCTGCAGAGTAGGTTTAGGGTGCTGTAAATTCACCCAACAGCTTACGCCGAGCCTTCCCACTTGTTTATGAACTTCAACTACAGTATAAAAGCGTGGGCGGGAAGGATGGAAAAAAACTTATTTCTCTCAGATTGTCTGCATGCATGTTACCAGGTCTTACGACGACCTAGGACAGTATCCTGTACTACACGCTCTCCTGCAAATGAATGTTTGTTCCAAGAGACCTGGCACATCTTGTCTGAGGTACTGAACCCTTCCATTCACTGTTATGTTACAGTTGTTGTCTGTACTCTTGACGATCTACCCTGAACCACTCCTAAATGGGGGTGGGAATGGTGCTGCTTCTTTATGAGTCAGTTAACAGCTTGGTATGGATGCCAGCTACCTGTTTCACTTCTGTGCTTTAAATGCTATTTCTTAATTTTAACAGGAAGGTTGCACACATGCTCTTTATAAAACTGCAGCGGCAAGGTTAGAACAATTCAGTCATGCAGAGTACTGAGTTAACTGTCACACTGGAGTAACTGAAAAAGCAGTCCTGCTTGTATTTCTGCCACTACTACTTTTCTTTTTTCCCGGGAAGCCTGCACAATCCATCACTGCAATTTTTTAAGGACAGGACAATAACATCATCCATCTCTCAGAAATGACACAGGAATTCTGGCAGGGCTTAGGAACGGGAAATTAATTAGAGGACCTCCAAAGGTATATCACTGCTGAAGTTCTCCTGTACAGTTTAAGTTGCTGCCCACCCCCCTTAGCCAAAGCTATAGCCTTCTACATGTCTTTTTTTTTTCTTTTTACAGGGACGGGGAGGGGAGTGGATTGCTACCTCTGTTAATTCAGTATTGTCATTTTATGATGATTTTAATGCCAGTAAATAATCTGTCTACTGTGTAAACTTCAAATGCTAGTGTTTTAAATGGTTTATTCTCCCTTACAGCAACATGGCTTTCCATCTAAATATACCAAGCACAAACCTCTGAACCACAGACTTCACCAGACTTAACATCGCTCAGTTGTGTAGCTTTAGCTCTTACTCGAGATGAAAGAAAACTGAAGAACCTCCTGAGGTAAGGGATGGCTTAAGACTTTTATCCCATGTTGGATATCCCTACACTCCAGCAATCATGGCAGATATTTCTTGGACTGAAGGAGTCTCCAATGAGACAGTTGCCAAGGCCAGTTCAGAATTCAGCTTGGAAGCAGACTTCCAGTATTCCTTGTTTACTGTCATCTACAGCATTGTCTTCGTGCTGGGACTGATAGAGAATGTCTTAGCTCTGTACCTGCTGTCCTGCAAAGTAAAGCACACTTCTCATTCCTACGTATACATGATTAATCTAGCTCTGGTAGACACCTTGTTTGTTTGTGTGTTGCCTTTTAAAATTCATTACCACCTGAATCGGAACAATTGGATCTTTGGTGACGTGGCTTGTAGGATAACTGGGACTTTGTACTATGTCAACATCTATCTAAGCATTGCCTTTTTCACCTGCATTTGTGTTGATCGCTACATTGCAGTGTTGCACCCCTTCACATACATCCAGATCAAAGTCCTCCATTACGTGATGGTGGTCACAGTCCTCTGGGTGGTCGCTGTAAGCGTCATGGTTCCACTTATCCTTGGCGGGCCCCTCCACAACAGTGGTGTGAGGAACACGACAGCATGTTTTGAGAACTTTGCTACGAGTAGCTGGACTTACCGCATGGCACCCTACAACATCCTGGCCTTAGTTTTTGGTTTTGTGATCCCATTTTCCATCATTCTGATCAGCTACCCTCTCATTGCTAAGAGGATCTCCCAGATCAAACACAGCATTCGCAAGAGGAAGGCCCTGAGCACTATCTACATCATCTTGGTCATTTGTACTTTGTGCTTTCTCCCGTATCATCTCACTCACTTGCTCCACTTTTTAATGAGAATCCAGGTCATCCAGAATGAGTCACTTACCAACTTGATCTACAAAATGCGAAGGGTCACCTTAGCGCTCGTGAGTTTCAACTGTTGCCTTAACCCGCTCTTGTACTACTTCACCTCTTCCAGCAAGCAATGGTACTGCAACTTCAAGCTCAGATTCAGGTCTAAAATGGTGTACACAATCTGTGACCAGAAATTCGGGGAGTCTTCCTATGTTTGTAAACTACAACAGAGACGTGGAAATAAAAGACACAGAGATAGAACCAACTGATCTACTTAAAGTAAGTACAGTATTCGTCTTTCCAACTGTTTCTTTGAAACCAAACCTGTGAAACCTACCACTCTTTCATACAGTGGTTGTTACATCAAGGCAAGACCGGAGGGAAGTGCCTAACAGCTATGTATTTTTATTAGCCAGCTAGGACAGTACTTGGGGCACTGTATTCTCTGACGGTCTTAGATAGCACATGGTGAAACACGCTGTGTTCATGTACATTGATGTTTTGGTCTCCTTTTGTTTAACTTTGGGGTTGGTAGGAGAACACAGGGCTCTCTTCTGGAACGCAGTACAGCCCGGGAAAGGGTTACTTGAAAGAAACCACCCTCCTAATTTGACACTAGCTGAAAGCTGAGTGGATGAGGGCAGTCCTGCTTGGCTTTTCCCTATTTTGGAGGGATCCTGTGTTTTCTCCCCGGGGGCACACTGTAGCCAGCTGGGTTCACAAACTTCTTTCTGCCTACATTCCACAGCCAAATAAGGGCTTCTCATCCCTTCTTGTGAATCAATTGATTGGCTTCCTGAGGAGTAGTTCAGTGCAGGGTTTCTAGCATTGCATGCCTATGGATTCAAGCTGGACATCTATAATGCAAGTTTAGAAGATAATAGATCCAAGTTATTTATCAGTCAGTTAACCTTGTCCAGGACCAGTGGTAAACGTTGAGGGAAGTTACTGTAGGGGCTGGCACAACTCCTTACACTGTGCAGTCCTGTTGAAATGTCAGAGCTCTCTTTTCAGTCCTTGTGTTTGTATCACAAAATGTCTGACTTATTTCACCCCTTCTCTTGTATTAACAGAACCACGCAGCTTCCGAGAACTGCTGAGTTTTCCACCCTGTGAGACATGAGACTTTGCAGAGAATTTATCATTTGTGGGTTATCAGTCACCAGAAAACCACTGGCCTGGCTGACAAACTTGCTTAAAACCCAACGGTTTTCTTAACAGGATGTGATTTTTTGGTAACAGATATACAGTGTCACTGTTCTGTTCCTTCCCACGCCACCCTCATATGAAGTGCATATATGCTATTGGCCTGTAGGCACGCAAGACTGCCGAGCAGATGAGAACAGAAGGGAAAGTGTCATCGGGCTTGTTTAACAGGGACAAGGTACGCCTAACGGTGGCAATGCGCTAAATCAGTATTTCCATTTCCAAATGTGCAAAATGCAGGGTAAAAGTCACACTTTGCCCTGGCACGCTGCAGCAGGTGTGGGGTTCCCAGGCTATGCTGTGGAACAAGAACTGCCACGGACCTTAAAGGAGGGAGGGAGTAGGATTATTGTGGCAGAATGGTGTGTGGAGATAAATGATCGTGTGTCTCTGTGATGTAGTAACTTCTTTTTGCACAACAATGGACATTGCAGCTTTTGCCCCATTCAGCCAATTCTCTGATGGCAGCTGATGCTGCAGTCTACTGTCTGGTTAAGGACAGGAGGTAAGAGGTTTGGAAAATAAGAAGCGTGGGGGTTTGTTGGGGTCTTGGTTTGTGGAAAAAAAACCCATGCATTATGATGGTAAGCAAGGGTCTTGAATTTGGGAGGCTGTATTATTGATCAGTTAAAGCCAATCAATAAACCACTTTAGCAATGTCAGATGTATGCAGCAAGCAAACCAAGAGCAGATCTGAAATTATTGTAATAGAGCTAAAGCTTTGTAATAGATGGCTTTTGTGGTGCAGTGTTACGTTTGCTAGGATGGGCCTGACTTGAATTAGTTATTGCTACGTGCAGTTTGAATGACACTGAATGGACACCTAGTACTAATGATGGGTCAGCCACTGACCTCTCCCTTTCTGTCTTTTGTGCTTAGCTTGGAGGAATTTTGAATAGTAATATTTATTAATATGTAATTATTAATGTAATTAATTACATAATGATATGTAAGTATCAGTGAGAAAACCTGCTCAAACTTTTCTAAAATATTGAAAATAATGATTCTTGTGTTCCTCTGCTTAACTGGGCTTGGGTAAGACAAGTGCAAACCCTTGCACTCGTAAAATGGCGATCAGGAGAGCCTCTGAGGGAGTATTGGTACAAATTAATCTTTTACCTTTCATGAGATACTGCTATTTTTGTCCCATTTATAGGCTATGGAAAAACTTCCCAGCACTGGAGGGACTGTTCTTTCCAACTAAGCACAATTTTTATGTTTGGACAGAGGAGGAAACAATTTTATTGGAGACTCCATCCAGGAGTGCAGCTTTCTTGCAGGCTTGTCAGCTGTCATTGAGGGAAGTATGGATAACAAAAAAAGTAAATAGCATGTTTAGGGCTTTGCGCTCTTGCCTCCATTATACTCAAACTTTGCATTTTAATTGTGAAGCTTTGAAAGCTCCTTCTTTTGACCCCTCAGGCCTGAGCTTATCTACCCATATTAGCATCACGTAGGGCTGATCCCCCTTTACTGACAAGTCACAAATCTGACAGAAGTGAGCTGTTTTGTCCCATGCACAGCATCCGGGAATTAGTTCAGTGCAGGAGCGGGGGTCAGTGCACAGCTCTTGCTTCTACTTGTTTTTGGGAGACAAACTGAAAGCCTAGATACTGCACAGAAAATCGCTGTAGTATAGAACAGCACTGCTGAGGTTTTAAGGGAAATGAGCTGTGGGAGGGGAAGAACGCTGAATATCTTTTACCTTATTGTGTAAGCAACTCAACTGTACTGACTCCCTGGGCAGGTTTCCAACAGGAGAAGATCGCAGTACTGCTGAATGATATAACTGGCACTGCAGTAATGGGAGAAACACTGTAATTCCTTTATTAAAACAAAACCAGAAAAAAACACTGTCAATGTAAACAAAATAAAATCTAAATCTCTCTGAAACACCACTGTGCCTGTTGCTCACGATGTACTCTGTGGCAGTCCTTTTTTCAGAAGGGATGTGAGATAGCTGCCCAGTTCTTCATCCTAGAGAGAATAGAGAAACAGGATGAAAGCAATGTTCCACTTGACTTTCCCATTTGGGGCAATCCATTCGACTCCGGTACCTAGAAATAGACTGAAATAATTCTTGGACCCAGCAAAATCTAATGTTAGCAGTGTTCAAAAATGGAAACCAATCCAGTTAGCACAAATGCATTTCTGGGTGTTCTTTCAAACTATCAGTGTAAAACTTGCATTTGTCAAAGTAGGTATCTGGACCTGAGGTGTCTCTTTTGAGGAAAATTCTTGAAATTGAGGAAAATTTCTTGAAAGCAAAGACTAAAGAACCATTGATTTTTTTTGTTTGTTTGTTTTTGCTTTGCCCTCAAGAAGGCATTTCCTTGCTGTAAAGAAAGCATTTAAAAATACAGCCGTAGAAAGTATACTTTTGAAAGGAAGAAAACATGACTATGTCTAATCTTACTACAATTTCATGTTAGTTAGCTTTCTGCTTGTTGTTTGAAATTTTACACCTAAGAAACACAATATAAAATACCTCCACGCTCTGTATTGCAGTAATGATACAGCTGAGAGTTTAGAACTTGGATGCTATAGTGTCCTCAAAACACAAACATAATTGTAATTAATTGTAGGAAGTGTAATTACTCCAGATCAGTTGTCTTGAGTTCAGTGGTCCCAGAGAAAACCAACTCAGTAAAGCTCCTGTAAAACGATTTGTACTAAACCTAAAATGGTAAAGAAAATGGCAGTGACTCACCTCATCTTCTTCCAGTCAAACTACTTCAAAAACAGAGTGATGAAGACTCACCCTTACAACAGCAACCCCCATTGTAGGACAGTTTTGGACTGTAAGGAGTTAAGATCAGAGTTGCTTGAAAAGTATGTTTTCAAGGATTCCTACCTGGTAAGTCCAGGATACGAGCAGAACTTTGGTTCCTTGATCTTCTGAGTGTGCTGTGGCTTGGATAAGAATGGACTCTACTGTTATAGAACCATCGGGGAGATGCTGCACTGAATAATCTTTCAGGATCCTGGTAAGAGAGGATAGATGATTTATTTTGGATGGGACATGCATACAAGCTGAAGGGTGGGTCACCCCCTGGATCTCTGAATCCCCAACACCAGCACGTTGTGGTGACTTTTAGCTGTGTCTCCGAGCCAGCACCCACTGCCCAAGGAAGGGAGAATGGGGCTGATTCATAGCTTGCTTATTTTGGGTTTTGGTTATTAATTTACATTTGCTTATTTTTGGTTATTAATTTACATATTAATCATGTAGGATTTCCTACAGAATTTATTTCTGGCTTTCATGATAGCTATAGCTCCAGCCTGAACCCTGTTCACCTGAGCAAAGGACTACTCACAGAATCGACCAGCTGCTTATAGGAAGAAGACAGCTTTTCAGATTCATCTGCTGCTAGCTTTTGAATAGCTTTAAGAGGTGTCTTGACGCTATGCTTGATGGTCTCGCTCCAAACAATTGTACTAATTTCAGCTAGAAGCAGTAGCGACGGCAACAAACCGAAGGGAACAAGGATTTTGGGTGGACTGCTCTAGCTTGGCAAAGACCATGGGCCTGTAGGCTGATTACCAGCCTCTGCTACTGCAGTGTAACCTCCCCTCTGGTACGTTACGTTAGCTATATAGCCTGAAATCTAGAGCAGTTGTGTCTTCTGCAGAGAATTTTCTCTTAATAACTCTCTGGGGCTGGTCTGGAAGGGCAGAAAGGAGGGCGCACTTGTACTACCTATATTAAGAATTATATGCTCAAGTCCATCCCTAGGGGGGGAAGAAGCAAACGCAGCTAAGAATGGACTTACCCTTTGAGATGGTTATATACACGAAGCACCGTCTCGTGTTCTTTCCGTGGATCCTGAATGTGAACACGGCAGGTGAAACGCAACTGATGTTCTGCAAGGCCCAGCTCCTTCAAAGCTTGCTCGGGCGAAACCAGACGGAAGCTCTGCAGAGGAAAAGTACAAATCCATTACAAGCTATTTCTTTGCGCTTTCTGAAGTTTTATTCCTCCTCTGTGTGTGTTCATCATCACTGCAAAACGCCAGCAGGTAAGATCATTCCTTTCCAACCGCTGAAACGTCTTGGCACATTT